TGTTTTAATCCAAATTCATTATTTTATTAATTGGTTTGACATAAATTATGTATAAATCGAGTCTCGAATATGCAAAGCCCTATTATTGCTTATTTGTAAACCATGAATTAATATTCTATAAATGTAATATTCTAAATTAATATTAATACAAAAACAATTTTTAAAAATTTCTCGTACTTATTATTTAAATGTTCTTGAAATATTAAAGAATTGAATTAAACAATCCTATATATTAAAAATTATTAAATTCTTTATAAAAATAATAATAGTTTTATAGAAGCATTCTTTTTAAGTAAAAATACTTATTATACTTCCGGTACTTTTAAAATACAATAAAAATAATTCAAAAATAAATTTTTAAAAATTTTGTATATAAGAGTACAATATAATAATAATTATCACTGTGATTTTAAAAGTGTTAATTTTAACAATTTGTCTCATAATTTTAAATAACAAATTGTCATCGTATATACTCTCTACGTAAGTATAATATGCGATGATAAATACAATTGACTTTATTATATTTTCAACTAAAGTAATGAACAAATTAACAAACATGTCATATAATAATTGTATACGTATTATTTATTATACAAAAATATACATGAAACTTATTTACATAAAAAGTAGGTAATTCAAATATTATTTACTAATATTTTAATGAATATTACAAATTAAAATATCATTATTTCTTTTTCTAAAAAAATTTTAATCCCATCACAATTAAATTTGAATAATGCTAAAATATCAATCCAAAACAAAGCTATGGATGTGAAGCTCAGATGGAAAGAACATATTAAGAAGAAAAAAATAGAATTAGAAAACAAATATAGAGAAAACTATTGGCTCCTTGGGGTCTTGAGTATAAATTGGCAGCATACTGCAAAATATTGATATATAATTAAATAATAAAACCTAAATTGTATACAGCTGCGGAGTTGTTCTGTAAGCAAAAACATATCAAGCAAGTATAAACTATTCAAAACAAGGTGCTACGTAGTATGGTGAATGCTCTATGGTATGAATGCAAAAGTGACCTTCATATAGGAATTTAGGCTTCCCCGAAATAACGAAGTATGCTATGAAACGTAAGGTGTATTTGAAGCAGCATGTGAATATTGTAGTTTCAAGACTTCTCCAAGCTATTGAAACAAACGGGATCTATCGAATTAGCCTAAAATGCAGAGGTATCACATCCGTGCCTGCCTTCACGAAATACCGACACAAAACCTCAAGAAAATAAAACTAATTGTGTTGGTTTTAATAGTTTTAGTCAGACTAGTTTTTGTTTGACTATAGTTTTATGATAACATCAGGTGCGTTTTAGTTTGGGCTAAAGTCCCCCCCCCCCCCCCTCCCCCAATTGATAAGTCTAACGATGATTTGAGTGTTAACTGTTTTTAATATCTACATAGAAAAAAAATTATTTTGTCTTAAATAGAAAATACTATAATTATCAAAATATATTTAGAGACCACAATTATCCTTGAAATTTTTTAGCATTTTATTTGTTTCTAGTAAATTCTTATCTTTCTCCCCTTCCATTATGCCATTATGAAAATTTACTACACTATTGTACTTAGCGAAAACATTGAACAAACAAAATTTTTTTTTGTGAAATCACTTAAAATACAAAAATATATTTTTCCCCCTATACAAAAAAAAATTTCCCAAATTTTTGAGTCATCACAAATTTCTTGAACAAATATTTAAAATGTTAAATATAAGTACGGGTACCTATATACACACTTACCTATATTACTAACTGTGTAACTATAAATTTTCTTTTAAATAAGAACAAAGTAAGTTATTGTTAAAATTATTTTATATACTACCCATATTATTATACCAGCCATTACCAAATAATTACAGACAAAATTGTCACTCTTCATAGTACTCTAAAATGCAAAACAAAAAGCTTTCATCATAATCGCATAAATATAATAAATAAAATGACAAAGAAAAAAAAAACTTCATGACTGTAACAAATTTAACTGAAATTAAATCCAAATGGAAAAAATAAAATAAATGAAAATTTTTAGTTGAAAATCATTTAATTTTCATTTTGCATACAAAATTTTAATTTTTTTTTTAACCTCCTTTGTATTTTATTGCTAAGGAAAATGCTAGTAGTCTTATAATTTGAAAAAAAAAAAACTTATGTTTAAATTAGTAACACTAAAAATTGTCAATACGAAACAAGTGTGTAATTGTTATTGAATTAATTGAAGTGTATAAGGAGGTAATTCCGGTAATATTGTCCATTAATAATTTTCTCAATCAATGGTAACACACAGGCAATAACAATAATTTTTTTAATTTTTTGGTAATATTATTGTTAGAACCAAAAATATGCAAGCAAAAAACATAATCTAATATTTTTGTATAAAGAAATATGGATGGAATCCGGATAATCAAATTTAATATTTTGTACTCTAATGCAATAATTCGAAATATATAAATATAACTGGAGCTCTGATTACTGACCACATTGCATACACTAATGGAAGTTATGTGATGGCATCAAATTTTGGATGTCGAATATTCGGTGGAAATTCACTTTTTCGTGTTAGGGAAGCGCAATTTTTTTTAGAAAGAGGTCGGTCTGTCTGTTGGCCTGTGTGTGCATGCGTATATTTCATGTTCGGCTGAATTTGTCACAGATTTGCTTTTCAACTTTTGGATTAACTAGACCTTTTCGCGAGCTGATTTAACAATTAAAGCGCATAAAAAGTGAGATAATAAACCCAATTTCCTTAAAATTTAATATTTTAATGAGGGTTATTAAAAAAATGAACATATATGAATTTTTTTGAAAAGATCAGGTATCGGAAACCGAATTTTGGGTTGATTTTACATTTTTTATCATATCTACAGAATAATATTTAGAATTTTTGGAAATTTAATATTTAAGTTCTGATTGTTGTCGAAACTAACTGGCAAACTTTTTAAGGATTCGGATGGCACAAAATGAAACTCTTATACAAGCTAAATTTTAATTTTTCTAGTTATATTAACTAAAAGCTTACTATAGCATGCTTAAATTTAGAAAGAAGTGTATAAAAGGTATTTTAATTTTGCGAATAGGTCTATATACTAAATCCTGCATATTTTGCAGTGCTCAAGCTGCATATTCGCGAAACCTAAAAAATAAAAACTTTAATAATCTTTTTATTATTAATTTTAGTATTAATTTTACTCCTAAATTGTTATTAAAGCGCGAAAAACGTTATCGAAAAAAAATATTTTTTAATATTTTTAATTTTCTATTTTTTTGTTATTTCATTCAGTTTTCTAGAAATTCAAGCTTATAACAAATTAAAGAAGTCGCGCTTACCACATTTTTCCAAAGTAAATTTATTATTAACAAATTTACAAGATCATCTCATTATTTTTATCGAAATATTCTCATATCATTTTTTGATAATACTAACACTAAACACATATATACATATATGTATATATACATAATTATATACACTCATATAATATTTTATGTTATATATGAAATTCATACATTATACATTAATAATATAATAATTTTAAAGAAATTAACAATTTCAATGAGAATATTTCATTCATATTATGTGCACATATTCCTAAATTAAACATATTCCACATACATATTAAAAGCTTAATGGATATAGTAATTTATTATATAAGTATATATGTACGCATATATACCTGGATCATCATCATCATCATAATACTAGCACAAAGTTCAAAATATATAAAACAACAATAATTTAATAATAAATTACCATAGCATTATGTGAATATTACGAGTATAATAAAAAAAATAATATTTACATACCATATGAATTAAAACATAAAAAAGAAAACATACAACAAAAAATACTTATTATATAAAACAAAAGAGCATGTAAGAAAAAGAAAAAAATCATCAACTATTTTAACTACTATTTTTTTTTCATTTAAAACTTTCGGTTCAAGTTAATTTCAATTTATTTTATTATTTTACTTCATTGGATTCAAATCGTATCATCGGATTCAAAAAAAATAAAGTCGCCGCAACAAACCTGGTGGAATATCTTCAATTATATTTAATTTATACACACGCTATAAAAATAAGAACAAAATAAAATAAAACAAAAAAAGTTCCCAGTTTTGAAGTTCGCGCTTAACAGAGTTTTGTAGTAAATTTTTATTTCTTCGTCTTATTTTTTGAAAATAAAATAATTTTTTTTTAGTTTTTTAAATGGAAAGCTTTTTTAAAGCGAATTTAAAGAGAAAAACAAAAATAAACGCGCGAATTTTATTTTGTATATTTTTTTTTCTTAAAAAAAATTTTAAAATTATTTTCAATTGAAATTCCGGTGAGAAACGTGGTCTTTGATTATTTTTCCTTCATTTTTTTTTTTTTGTGTGTTTCTTTCAAATATTTTTGAAAAGTTTTTCGGTAGTTAAAAATTAAGAATAAAATAAATTTAATTTTTAATAATAAAATTTTTATTTTTTAAATTTAAAATAATCTGAAGAGGAACTCAAGGAACAATAATATTAAAAAAAAAGCCTAATAAAAATATTGAATTGGAAAAAAAACTAAAATAAATAAAAATAATAAGTGTTTTTAGAAAAAAATTTTTAAATTAAAAGAAAAAAATCATTTGATTTAAATAACAAAAAGTGTTATACTAAAAAAAATTTAAATTTTTAAATTCAAATTGAAAATTTAATTTCAAAAGTTTCGAAACGAGAAATAAACAAAATTTTTTGAATTTTAATTTACAAATAAATAATTATAAATTTAATATATGTAATTTTTTTTTTGAAATATTTCAGAGATCACCATTTTTATATTAACAATCACATTAACCATTTAAAAATAAAACAATTAAGACAAACACAAAACAAAAATAATAATTTTATTTATTAAAATTAAAATTAAGAAAAAAAAAGGAATTTTTTGTTTGCCAACTAATCGGTCTGCTTTGGCTTTTTCGATATAAATTATAATTATAACAAGAATAAAATTATTCAAAAAACAAGAAAACAAAAGAATCAAATAAAAAGGATTGTCATTTTTTCTTTATTTTTTGCATTCAACTGCGCGCGCGCGATCCCTAAAATATCCTGAAATATTCTTGTTTGAATAATAAGTGAATATAATTAAATTATGTAAGTATGTATAATATAAAAATAAAAATTTATGTATCAAAAAACAAAAAAATATTCAATAAATTTTTTTTTCTTTTATTTTTATTATTAACAATAACAAATCAATTTATCTATACATATGCACATACATTTGTTATTAAATTACTAAATAGGTTCACATGAACCGTGATATATACGAAATTTATATGTTATATATATGTTATATACCCTATATTTAACTGTTTTAGATAAAAAAAAAATCAGTTGATAATAAAAACAAAAAATACAAATAAAACCGATAACGAAAATCACGTTTTTTTTTTTCTTATATTAAAATCAAGTTTCGTTTTTTCTTTAATCTTCTCTAAAAAAAATAAAATAATCAAAATATCAAAAAGAATAAAATTTAATATACAATAATAATGAATGAAATTTAAATGAATAATAATAATAATATTATAAAAACTGTATTATAAATTTAATAAAAACACAAAAAAAAACAAAAATTAAGAACACATAGAGAAAAAAAAAATTATTTCAAGGATGATCACTTCTTGATCATAATTAAAATAAAATAAATATATATATAGAATATATATACAAGCATATATATATATATATATATATATATATATATATATATATATATATCTATAATATTGGTATTTACAAACAAGTATATAAGATTTTTTAATAATCTCATATTCGAATTTATTTCATATATACTTTATATATACTTGTATATATTATATTTACATATATATATATATATATATATATATGTATTTTGCATTAATTATTTATTACAAAAATTTTGAAATTCTATTTAAATATTTTAATATCTAATTATCAACTACTTCAATTCTGATATATATATATATATTTTATGTATATATATAATATACCTATAGACGTTTAATTGAAGAAGATCTTAATTATTTTATATACGTATGCATGTATGTAATGTACATGATGTTATAATATAAATGTACAACAAGTTTATATAATTAATATTAATTACCATTATATAGTGTTTTTTTTAAAGCGGGCACGGCGCTGTTATTTCTTAAGTTTATTCTTCACAATAATATATACAGTGAATATATACATTGCAGTACTATTTAATAAACATATATATATATGTTATAGTAAAATGCAATTTTAGACATTCCGAATTTCTGAATTAATTTTAGTCATTCCGAAAGTGCACAATATAATAAATCGTTTTGAGCCTATTTTTATTATTGCCTGCACCAGTAGAAGTTATCTGAGGTATGAGCATATTGTATATATATTCTGATATATAGATGAGCTCACCCGTCCAATTACAAAATAACTCAAAAACGAATAAAATAAATACCACCAAACTTCTTTAAATTTCTTCGTTTTAGCAATGGGCAGCTGATACTGAATTGAGTTAATTCGAACAACAGGTTGAAATAACTACCATACAATACGAAAATATAATTTTAAATATTTCACAAACTAATTTTTATAGTCTGATTACCAGGATGTAACGGGTATAGTGCAGTCAGTTAAGATCGACTGAAACGTTTTTTTGTTGTTTATTATTTTGTTATATATTTCATGTGTTTACATAAAAAAATTCTCCGAACTTAATTTAATGCAAGCCACTGTATATATTCTGATTTACTATAAATGTATATTCAATAATTCACATTATTATTCACATATAATTTAATTCATTAATATTTTGTAATATGTTTATGCAATTTTTTTTTTCAAAATTCTTTAGTCTCGAATTTATGGTCTTATTTGTATTGTTTTCTATTTAGTCTACACTATACAAAAATATTTTATTAATTAATTAAAACTTTTGTAGGTTGTTAGAGCTAAAAATCAAAAGACAACAAATTTTACAATATTAAAAAATAAAATAAAAAATATTTTCATATTTTAAATAATTTAAAAAAAAAACTTGATTTTAATTTAAAAATATTTCAATAAAATTAAAAAATTCAAAATAATTATACGTATATAACAATAATTCTAAATGATGGTATATTACTAAATTTTTTTTACAACATCTACATAAATTATATAGTATATTAGACTGGTTTAAAATTTTAACTTGAACTTTATATAAAACTCATAAGTACAAGATCAAAATTAATTCATATATATATATATATATATATATATATATATATAGATATATATAATATATATACATATTAAATTTTCCATAATAATAATCATCTTTTCAATAATTTTGTAGGCGTTAATGAAATTTTCAATATTCTAGATTGTGTACTAAAATATTGAAAAATATGAGAAATAAATATTTAAAGTTCAATTTAATTAAATTTAATATATTTTATTCAAACAGAATGCTATAATACAAATTATATATGTAATTATTTACAAATATAGGTATTAGTTAAATAAAGTTATTAAAAAATGTAGTTATTTCTAAAAATAAAAAAAATACCTTTTACTAAATTTTATTTTCAAATTGTTTTATATATAGGCTTATTATATACGGAATTGTTAGTGTTGTTAAAAAATAGTACTAAAATAAAAAATGAGTCATTTTATAACAGTATAGTTCTCAGATTTCAAAAATGGGTTTGGAGTCAAAGTTACACCTATATGTATAACATGTTGTTTCTGGGAGATGAGATTTAAATTTGTTCATTGAACTTATTGCTTCTGAAAAAATTTTCAAACTCTAGTATATTTCCTATTAGCATACTAACTTTTGTAAATGTGTCATATTGCTAAAATACATTTATAGTTTAAAATATTCTTGTTTAAATTATTTTTCTAAAAAATTTTAAAAGAAATACTAAAATATTTTCATCCATTTTTACTCAAATTTCACATATTAATTTTTCTATCATAAATTTTGAATATTTTCATTTCGGAATTCTACTGTAACAATTCTGTCATTTGAAATATATATAACAGGGTAATCAAACCATATGCACATAAAATCATTGATTGACTGTTTAGTTCATATCTAAACTGAAATCTGAAAGAATGTACATTTAAATAATAATCTGCTTAATTTTATATTTAAAATGTGTTTATATAACAATATAAAGAACTAGCGTTTGGGCACAAATGTAATCAATTTAACATTGCAGTAGAAGAAAATAAATCAAATTAATAGGTGCAAATACATATGTACAATATGAAAATTCACATCAATTTAAAAATACATGCAAGCTAATAAATCATCATAAACACTCTATATACAATACATTCATATAGATAGTATATACAATTTACTATTTAAATAAAATTACATATTAAGTGTGCAATAATTACCATATACAGCGTATAAAAACTTTATGATTACTTTTTATACAATATTTAAACAATTTATTTAAAAAAAAAATAAATTTCCACACTAGTTTTGTTATACAATATTTTAATTATAATATAGGATTTGTTTTAAGAAAGCGATCAAAATAACTTACATACAAACTCATACGAATTACTTCATTCATACTTCATTCATACAAAATTTCGTTATACAAATTTCATAAACCTACAGTTTGAACAAACATCAAGGTCTCTTCAAATTATTAATTTTATTTGGTGAAATTTGAAACATAGTGTTATCAAATTTAATTTTTAAAGGATAGAGTTTACAACAAATTTTATTCGCATGCTGAACTTTTAATACAATTTCAAATAAACTTTATATAGAATTTCAATTCAAATTCGCTAATTTAAGAACCTACCAAGTTTTGAATATTTATATACAACAATATTTGAACAAATATATTACTCGAATAACTCAGTTAATTTATTACATGTAAACTGTTATAACTATATAACAATAAAGCATATAAGTGTTCTATTTTGTAAAAAACTTCACATAATTATTATGTAATGAGAGTACAAATATAACCAAAATAAATCATTGATATTTAATTAGTTTTATTAATTGTGGTGAATATTAAGAATTTCATAAAAAAAAAAATCAAATTCACGCCTCACTAATTTTTCACAACTTTAATAAATAATAATTTTTTTTCCCTTTAAATTAGATTTTAAAATTGTGGTTTTGTTTTTAATTTATTGATTTCAAATTCAATTATAAGCAATTAATCCGCTAAAGTACAAAAAAACAAAAATATAATAGAAAAATTTTAATTTATAATAAAAGGTCATTATTATAAATTAAAATTGATTTGTAACAATTAATCATCGATTATATTTTTATTGAAGGTCTATGATGTATTTTAATTAATTAAGAAATTTCAATAATAAAGAAAATTCATTTTTAAAGAATAATATAATTATTAAATATTTATTAACTATTTTGTAAAAAAAATAAAATTTCAATTGAAGGGCTCTTCAAAATTAAAAAATAATGAATATTTACCGACCGCATTGCATACAATAAAGGAGGTTATGTGATGACACTAAATTGCGGATGTCGAGTTTTTGATAGAAACTCACTTCTCTATGGTCAAGGAAGTCAGGAAGAGCTCTTACATGTGATTAATTATAATTGAATTTTTTCTAACAATTTCAAGAATATTGCCAATCAATTAAGATTTTGAATTATAAATTTTTATTAATATAATTTAGTCCATTTCAATTTTAAAATAAATTTCATAACCTCAAAATTTTCTAAGACATCATTTTCAAATTTTATATTTACTTACATATATAGGTAGTTAATTAATATTAAATTATTGCTGTAAAAATAAGCATGTTATACCTATATATTCGCTACTATTAAGAACGTGAATGAACTTTACCATACATCCTTCCGTAATAAATACAAAGATAGAAACGCATGAATTTCCAAGTATAATAAATAAAAAAATTTAACAATAAATTCAATATCATATATCACCACATAATATATGTATATATATGTATATATCAGCACATAGAGTGCAAGTTATATAAATTTTCTTCATTAATTTCCAATTTGATTTTCTTTTAATATTGTTATTGTGGTCTATATGCTATATTTTATTTTTGTAATATCCAAGGCTTGCCTTTATAATATTTACTGAATAATAAAATTAATA